CAAGTTCCAAGTGGAGAGCGCTGACTTTGACTATTCTTTGATTATCAAACAGTTATACTTGATCAATTGCATCAATTAAATTCTCCTATATTCACCAAAATGCAAACTTTATCTGAAATATTTTCTACAAAAATTTTCGCCTTCAACCAGTTGATCAATTTTCACCAAAACGCACACTCTAATATATGCCGTCCTTGTTGCTATCTTTTATTCTCTCCCCTCCGAAAACCTCAACATCCAACCACGTAACAAACACAAGCTCTAGCCATGTGCAAATCAAGAAAATGCATCCAAGTAAGCTCCTCAAAGTCCACCTCCTCCTCAAAACACACCAAATCAATCCCGTCCTCCTCCTTCACTTACGACTCCGCTGCTGCTGCCGGCGGCAACCGCTCCCCTCGTCCTCGCGTCCTCCTCGCCCTCGCCCTCCGCGAAGCCTCCCCCGTCCTCCTCCCCTTCTCCGAGCTCTCCTCCGCCCACTCCGCCCCCCTCTCCCCTCCCACCTCCCGCCTCACCCTCGCGAACCACGACGCCGTCCTCCTCCGCCGCCCCTTCCTCTCCCCGGACCCCTCCACCCCCCGTCCCGCCTCGCCCCCTCTGCGGCTCGCACCACCGCTCCCTCGGCCCGCCTCCTCGGCGCCTCCCTCTCCCCCGACGGCCGCGTCCACCTCCTCTACGAACACGTCCCGGGCGCCCCCCTCAGCCTCTGCCTCCGCGCGCCCGCAACCCCAAGCTTCACCCTCCTCCCCTCATGGCTCTCCCGGATGCAGGTCGCCTCCACGTAGCCCACGCCTCTCAGTACGTCCACCACCACTGCCTCACCGTCCACAACCGGATAAAGAGCTCGGGGATCATAGTCACGGAGCCAGGCCTCCGCGCCAAGCTCTGCTACTTCGGCGCAGCGGAGCTGGCGGGCGAGGTGCAACAGCTAACAACAACCAAGGAGGCCGACGACGCGACGAACCTCGTGCGCCGACGACAAGAGCAGACAGCCGCTGAATAGCCTCGAGGGGACGAGGGGTAACATCGCCCGGAGGTCCTGGCAGGCGGGCGGGCGTCGCGCAAGTCGGACGTGTACGCGTTCGGGTGGTGATGCTGGAGCTGATATCGGGGAAGAGCCGGTGAGGTACGTGATCGGAGAGGAGGAAGAGTGCTGCCGCTCGAGGGGATAGGGGACGGCGAGGGAGGCGGCGGAGGAGGGAGGTGAGGGTTGGGTGACAGGAGGTTGGGGGACTCGTTTCCGGTGGAGGTGGCCGAGAAGGCGTGACGGTGGCGCTGATGTCTGGAGGAGGCGGCGGAGGAGAGGCCGGATATGAATGGGTGGCCGGAAAAGTGTCGAGGATTTTCTTGGATTCCAAGTTTTGGATGGAGAGGATTTGCGTCCCGACTGGGATTTCTGTTTCCCTTGCTGCCCGGTGAGGTGAGGGCTGGAGCTAAACAGCTAGCTGGGTTGCCCGCGTGCGGTGTTTATTTTCCTTATTTTATTTTCTTTATTTTATTTTATTGTTCTTATTTGTCAAAGTCGGGATGAATTTTTCTGCGAACAAATTTTCAAATTAAACCCATTTAATATTTTTATTAACAAATTCGACCCACTTCCATTTTATTTCTCAAAACCGACCCATTTCGTGGCCACGTCAGCAGCGTGGCCACGAAATGGGTCGGTTTTTTCCTCTAAATAGTCGGGGTTGCCAACCCCGACTATTTAGTTATGTACAAGCTAAATCAGTTGGGGTTTCCAACCCCGACAATTTTTGTGCTCTGTCTAATTGGTTGGGGTTGGTAACCCCGACTATTTCGAAAGCCCATTTCGAAACGACCGGGGTTACCAAATCCGACCATATGACAGAGAGCTCTGGCCCAGTCACCGAAGGAGCTAAAAACGGCCGGGGTTGAGCACCCCGACCATTTAGCAGAAGGGAGTTTTCCTACGCCCAAATGGTCGGGTTTGGAAACCCCGACTGTTTCGTGTACGTGCACAAAATCGTCGGGGTTCCCAACCCCGACCATTTGGCAGACTCTACTCCACACACTTTCAACTATAAATTCAAACTCCTACTGTTACATATCAATCCATAATGCAATCACAATCATAATAACACATATACCAATCAGTAATCTTAAATAAAAATTCATAATCAATCGGATACATACCATGCAATTCACATAATAACAATCAATACTCAATCGAATATATAATATTTAGCTTCAAAAGCAATCATCCCATCAATACTCAATCAGATACATAATATTCAGTTTCAATCGGATACAACTCCCTTTCCTCTCCCTCTCCCCCTGACACGTCCACCTTCAACGTGAGCTCGGATGAGTTCCTCGTCCAGTTGTGTGTGAAGTTGGGAGTGCATGACGTCCTCATCGATTCGAACCAACTGTGAACATTCGGTGTGGGCTTGTTGTGAACCGCCAGCTTCATCATGTGCACCGTTTGAGCCTGCCCCCATGCGTCCTCAGAATCGTCGACGACCGTACTCAATTGGTTGCTTCTCATGGCCATCACGTCTTGCATTACGCGTCCTCTGAAGAGCGAACTGAATCTTTTTTTTATCATGCGATTGAACGTGTGTTGGACCCTAGAGGGGGGTGATTAGGGTCTTAAGGCTAAAATTAGTGCAATAAAAATTAGACAAGCAACAAACCACAAAAAGAACAACAGTAGAAATGGAGATAGAGTTAGGAATCGTTATCCTTGTGACGCGCGATGTGTTAACGAGGTTCGGTCCTCTGACCTACGTCCCTGCTCCCCACTCTCGAGGAGAAATCCACTACACAACCCGGTTTGAAAGCCGGAACTTCTTCTACACAATGATCCCCTCACGATCTCACAACTACACTGTTGATCTCCACAAAATCACATTCCCACACAGTTGATCATCACAAGATCAAGCTCTCAAAAAAGTAGTAATGGTATAAGAACTCTCTCTTTACAAAGTTCCTATGGCAAAGAGAAAGATCAAACTGAAGTTGAGATGTGAACTTAAGAAAACACAGAAAACTGGTTTTAAAAGTTTTGGCTCTCAGTAAAACAACGTCTCTGATTTTTCAAAAGCTTAGAGCACTGAGGAAGAAAGAGGGTATGAGTTTAAATAGGAGAAAACCAGCTGTTTAAACTCATAACCTAATCTCCCAAAACTAGAAACAATCTTGCAACAGACTGTGTCAAGATTGTGTACAGTCAGCACAGGAACCCAAATAAAAAGACCGTTGAAAATATTTGGCGGTCGACCGTAAAGAATTCGCGGTCGACCACGAGCCAGATCTGAAAACGAGAAAACAAGCAGAAACTTCTGCGGTCGATCGTAGGAAATCTCGAGCTCACGGTTGATCACGGCGGTCGACCGTGAAAGTCTCTGCTGCCCAGTATCGAATAAAGTCAGGTGCGGTCGACCGCAGACTGATACATTCCAAAACTGTTTTTGACTCACTTTAAAAAATCTATAAAATATTCATTTGACTTCCAAAAATTATGAAACTTTGTAAAATGTTTTTAACACTAAAAACAAATTGTTTGGAAAAGGAATTTTGCAGATAGGTCCTCATACTTATGAAAAATAGTATTTTTGTGAAAACACTCAAAACTATAAGTATAAAAACGTGTGTGTGATATCCCAATAGCTTCAATTTAAATCTAAACTATTTGCCTACATTTTAGTACTAGAGAGAAAATAAAAACTAGCTAATATCCTCACGTAGAATACAACTATTGAGTCTTGATATAGCTTGAGTTGGATGAAGCTTCTTTTTGTATTTAGTGTTCTTGAATGAACATTGCTTCATCACTATGTCTCCTCCTTCTTTGAATATCATCGTTGTAGCGCATATTCCATCCAATCCTCCATTTGTGGCACTAATATGCTTGATGTATATATATACTATATTTTTACTTAACAAGCAATTAGTACCGATAATGGTGGTTGTAAAATATCATCAAAACATAAGGGCTAATAATCTCCCCCTTTTTTATGATGACAACCAACCATTATATAAGAGCAAAATAAATATAGCTTATAGATAGTAGCTCCCCCTATCTATGAGCTCCCCCTTACTATGTGCACAAATGAGGAGATTTCTCTCCCCCTTTGTCACCATCAAAATGAGATAAAAAAAATAAAAAAAAGCATGCGAAATGCAACTAAACAAGCAAGCAAATAGAACTTTCACATAGTGCATAAGCCCAAACCATTTCTTATGCGACAAAAATCATCTTCACCAAGAGGCTTGGTAAATATATCCGCTAATTGAGATTTTGTGTCAACAAACACTAGGGATACATCTTGTCTCTCTACATGATCACGTAAGAAATGATGACGCACATCAATATGCTTGGTTCTAGAATGTAAAACCGAATTTTTTAAAATATTGATAGCACTAGTGTTATCACAAAAGATTTTTATATTTTAAAAAATCAAATCATAATCAACTAAGCTTTGTTTCATCCACAAAACTTGTGCACAACATAAGCCGATGGTAATGTATTCCGCTTCCGTAGTGGACAATGCAACACAATTTTGTTTCTTAGAAGCCCAAGAAACAAGAGAATTTCCTAAGAATTAGCATGTTCCACTCGTACTCTTGTGATTTACCTTACATCCGGCAAAGTCGGCATCACAAAAACCATATAAATCAAAAGATGTGTTCTTTGCATAAAATAAACCAAGATTAAAGGTTCCATTAACATATTTGATGATCCTTTTAA